CTCGTTTCTTCTCATGGTTTCAGAGCAGGTTCCCTAGTGGGAACGCTACCTAGGGCCCACCACGATTTTTTTTTCCTGCCCGGAGCGCGCCTTAGCCTAGACCGAGTCGCGCGCGCCCCGTGTGCCCTCCCTACCGTCGCACCGCCCTTTGTGGCCCCTTGCGCTGCCCGTCAACCCCACGCGCCGCCCTAGCGGCCCCTCCCCCGTCGACCCCGCGCGCCGCCTTAGCGGCTCCCTGCGCCGCCCGTCAACCCCGCGCGCCGCTCTGGCGGCCCCCTGCGCCACCCGTCGACCCCGCGCGCCGCCCTAGCGCCCCCCCCCCTGCGCCGCCCGTCGACCCCGCGCGCCGCCCTAGTGGCGCCTTACGCCACCCGTCGACCCCGCGCGCCGCCCTTGCGGCCTCGCCGCCCTTACCTGCGGCCCCGCCGCCCTCACCTGCGGTCCCCGCCGCCCGTACCTGTGGTCCCCGCCGCCCTCAACTGCGGCCTCGCCGCCCTTACCTGCGGCCTCACCGCCCTCACCTGCGGTCCCCGCCGCCCTCAACTACGGCCTCGCCGCCCTTACCTGCGGCCTCGCCGCCCTCACCTGCGGTCCCCGCCGCCCTCAACTGCGGCCTCGCCGCCCTTACCTGCGGCCCAGCCGCCTTCCCTACGGCCCCGTCACCTGCTGCAGCGCCGCCCGCCACCTGAGCCGCCCGGGCCGCCTCACCTCGCCGAGCAGCCGACCGCCGCGCCGCCCTGCAGCAGCACGGCCGAGCCGCCCAGCAGCTGAGCAGCCGAGCGCCCGAGCCGCCCAGCAACCGAGCAGCCGAGCCGCCCTGCAGCCAAGCCACCCACAACCCGAGCCGCCCTGCAGCCGAGCCGCCCAGCAGCCGAGCCGCCGTGCAGCCGAGCCACCGAGCCGCCGAGCCGCCCTACCTCCGAGCCGCCCGAGCAGCCCCGTCCGGTGAGCACAGTGCCTCTTTTCCTGCACTGCCCTCACCCTACTGTTGCACTGCTAGTCTAGTGTGGTCATGGCTACCCCTAGTGTCCTCGCTTTTGACGCTGAGGGTCGAACCATTGACATTAACGTCTGGGTAGATGACCTGCAGCTGTTTTTACAGTGTGATAGGGCAGACGGTCTCTCACTCTTTGACCTCACCTCTGGCGCCTCTCCTGCCCCTGCTGCTGATGCCGACGCCACTGTTCGCTCCCAGTGGGCCACGCGCGACGCTGCTGCACGTCTTGCTGTGCGTCGCCACCTCCCTACCTCCGAGCGTGCGCACTTTAGTCAGTACAAGAGTGCTCAGACCTTGTACGACGCTGTAGTTGCGTGCTACTCCTCCCCTGCCACTGCTGCACTGAGCCGTCTCATGCTACCGTACCTCTTCCCTGACCTTGCTGCCTTTCCCACAGTCGCTGACCTCATTACGCACCTCCGCACTAGTGACACTCGCTACCGCGCTGCGCTTCCTGCTTACTTCTGTGCCAAGAACCCCCCCCCCCCCCATGTACATCACTCTCTACTACACAGTCACTCGCCTCCCTGACTCCCTTCGCGTAGTCAGGGACCACTTCCTCTCAGTCTGTCCCACCACTCTCACTGTTGACCTCCTCGAGAAGTCCCTCCTAGCAGCCGAGAAGAGCATAGTCGTTGTTGGGGCCTCTCGTGGTGACCCGCGCACCCCCATCTTTGAGGGGTGTTCCCCCTCCCCCCTTCTGCCCTCTGTTGCCTCTGCTGCTGCGGCCGACCTCCTTGGTCTTGAGTCGGTCGGTGCGGCGTCTGCCCCTAGCGGGAGACGCCGCTCTGGCAAGGGCAAGGGGGGCAGGGGCACTGGAGGGGCGAGCGGGGGCAGTGGAGGTGGAGGTGGAGGAGGCGGGGGAGTGGGGGTGGCGGTGGGAGTGGTGGTTGGGATGGAGGTGTCGGTGGCGGCAGTGGAGGCGGAGGCGGCGGTGGCGGTGGCGGTGGGAGCGGAGGTGGCGGAGGTGGCGGCGGTGGAGGAGGCGGCGGAGGCGGCGGTAGTAGAGGAGGCGGCGGAGGCGGCGGGGGTGGCGGTGGAGCTGGTCGCGGGTCTACGCAGAGGAGTGGCTCCGGTGGTGGTCCGCGCCAGCAGCAGCAGCGGGGTCGTGAGACCCTGTCCCCTCAGCAGCTCCGTGAGTGGTACACTGCACGCCAGCGGGGTGGGGGTTTTGGTCCGTGCACCTACGTCCTGCGCACCGGCGACCGTGCGGGTGAGCAGTGTGGGGGTGCGCACCCCACCCAGCGCTGCTTTGGCCGCCTGACGGACGCGTGGCGTCACCAGTTCCCGGAGGCCACAGAGATCCCTCGCTGGGGCGAGTTGTCTAGGGCGGGTGTTGATATCTATGATCTTGATTTTGATGCTATTCTTTCTGCCATGTATGCTGTGTCTATTAGTGATGAGGGTGACTATTACCGGTGTTTCCCGCCCGATCCGGGCATTGAGACAGCTGCTCTAGGTACTGGTGAGGCGGCTGCCCTAGGTGCTTGCGACGCTGCTGCTCTAGGTGCTAGTGCGTCTGCGTCCTCACGTACTGGTGAGTCCACGCTCTCAGGTACTACATCGGCTTCGGCCTCCCTCACCTTCACCCTTGACTTTGGGGCTTCTCGCTCCTTCTTTCGGGACCGCACCACACTCACGCCGCTTAGTCGGCCGGTTGCGGTGTCTCTCGCTGACCCCTCTGGGGGTCCTGTCTTGTCTCACTTCTCCACAGTCCTCCCGTGTCCGGCGGCTCCCTCTGGCACCCTGTCTGGTCTCTACCTCCCCTCGTTCTCTATGAACCTGGTGAGTGGTGCTGACCTACAGGATGGGGGAGTCGCCAGTTCACTCCTGCGCGTCAGCGGGTGACGCACTGCACAGAGGCTAGCACAGGCCGACACCTGGCTACGTTTACCCGTCAGCCGGGGTCGAGCCTGTACACACTGACCACTTCGTCTGCTCCAGTTGTTGAGTCTGGTAGGGTCGCTGCGTCGGGTCAGGTGTTTGCTGCAGCGTCGAGGTCTGGTCCTGAGTCTGCCCCCTGTTCGTGTCGTCTCCTGTCTCACGAGACTCTCCTCTGGCACCACCGCCTTGGTCACCCCTCTCTGCTTCGGCTCAGAGGCATGGCCTCCCGTCTTCTTGTTTCTGGTCTCCCCCGGTCCCTCCCTCCCCTTCCTCAGGGCCCTGGCCCTACTTGTGTCCCCTGTGTCGAGGGGCGCCAGCGGGCTGCCCCTCACTCCTCTCAGTTTCCTCCGACAGAGGCCCCGTTGCAGACGCTTCACATGGACGGGTGGGGCCCAGCCCGGGTCCGTGGACAGGGTCACGAGCGCTACTTCCTGCTCGTTGTTGACGACTACTTGCGTTACACCGCAGTCTTCCCCTTGCGCAGCAAGGGTGATGTCACTGAGGTGCTGATCGACTGGATCCGCGCAGCTCGTCTCCAGCTCAGGCGGAGCTTTGGCTCGGACTTTCCTGTTCTGCGTCTGCACTCTGACCGAGGCGGAGAGTTCTCCTCTGGCCTTTTGCGAGCCTACTGTCGTGTTCGAGGCATCCGCCAGACCTTCACGCTTCTGGACTCTCCACAGCAAAATGGGATTGCTGAGCGCCGCATTGGCATGGTCATGGACGTCGCTCGTACGTCCATGATGCATGCGGCTGCTCCCCATTTTCTGTGGCCGTTTGCGGTGAGGTACGCGGCGCATCAGATCAACCTTCACCCCAGGGTCTCCAGGCCGGAGACCTCCCCAGCCTTGCTGTGGATGGGGAAGGTTGGCGATGCGTCGGCGTTCCGGGTCTGGGGATCTCGGACGTTTGTTCGCGACTTGTCTGCGGACAAGTTGTCCCCTCGTGCTCCTCCTTGCGTCTTCCTGGGGTTCCCCCCTGACACGCCTGGGTGGCAGTTCTACCACCCCACCTCTAGCTGTGTTCTGTCCTCCCAGGACGTCACGTTTGACGAGTCGGTCCCCTACTACCGCCTCTTCCCCTACCGCACTCCGTCCCTCCCCCCGCCGCCGCTCTTCCTTGTACCAGGTCCCCCTCTGGTAGACCCCCTCCCCCCTCAGGGTCCGTCCCCTTCAGATGTGTCCCAGGTAGACGCAGTCGAGCGTGTCGAGGTCGCTGATGACTCTGGTGCTGCTGAGGGTGCTGAGCCTGGGGGTGCTGACTCTGGGGTGCTGAGACTGGGGGTGCTGTGACTGGGGGTGCTGAGCCTGGGGGTGCTGAGCCTGGGGGTGCTGAGCCTGGGTGTGCTGAGACTAGGGGTGCTGAGCCTGGGGGTGCTGAGTCTGAGGGTGCTGCGCCTGGGGGTGATGGGCCTAGGGGTGCTGAGCCTGGCGGTGCTGAGCCTGGGTGTGCTGAGCCTCGGGGTACTGAGCTTGGAGGTGCTCCGCATGGAGGTTCTCCGGATGCTTCCTCTCTACGGGAGCCGCTCTCTCCACGGGAGCTACGCGAGTGGTTTGCCCGGCGCTGGAGGCGTGCTGCTGGTGCTGGAGGTTCTTCGACTACTGAGGGTGCTGCTGTCGCGGGTCCCGGAGGTACTCGTACTAGGAGTACTAGAGCTGCTGGGCCTGCGGGTTCGACTGGATCTGGTGCTGCTGAGGGTGTTGGAAATGAGACTACTGCTGGCGGTCCTGCTGCGGGTACTCCTGGTACTGCTGGAGGTTTTGACGCTGCTGGAGGTGCAGCTGGAGCGGGTGCTCCTGCTGGGGGTACTGGTGCTGTACCTGCTGTGTCTGGTGTCGCCGCGCGGCCTCGACCGTACTTCGTTCCACTCCTGCAGCAGGTTCTTGGTCTTCCGCCTTCTACTGGTCCTCCTCCTTCTTTAGAGTGTCCACAGCCAGTCCCGTCACAGTTAAAGTTGCAGCCTACCTCCCCTTTGCCTGCTCCTTCTCCCTACACTGGTCCTACTAGAGGTCTTGCTGAGCGTCGTGAGCCTGCGTCTCGCCCTGCGTCGCCTGTCCGTGCAGCTCGCGCTTGTGCTCGTGGTTCGAGTCAGCGTCCTCCTCCTGTCCCCGGCACGCACACGATGTCTCTACGTCCGTCCACTGCTCCTCTGCGTGCCCCTTTGCCTTCTCCTCCGGAGTCCTCTCTTCCTGCTTTTGCCGACCCAGAGTCGGACTCTCTTTGTGCTGCCAGTCCTACTGTCACGCGTCTCCTGGCTACTGTCGTCACTGACCCTTCTTTCGAGTCCACTGCTGCGTCTGCCCTAGTTGCTAAGCTCGTCGACTTTGCTGCTCGCTGTCGCCTAGACTACGCTGCTAGTCTTGTCGTTGAGTCTAAGTCTGTCTGTCCTCCATCCGTTGGGGGTGAGTGTGCCCTTGGCACGGACGTCCTTGAGGACAGGCAGGAGGAGTTCCAGTGCTTGTCCGCTGCTTCACCTCATCTCGTGTCCGTACTGCTTACCCCTGAGGGAGACCCGGATGCACTTGACATCCCGACTCCGCGCTCTTACGCGGAGGCGATAGAGGGTCCCTACTCTTCTCAGTGGCAGGCAGCTATGGATGCAGAGATGGCTTCCTGAAAGTCCACAGGCAACTACGTTGACGCTGTCCCCCCTCCTGGGGCGAACATCGTCAGTGGCATGTGGATCTTCAGGGTGAAGCGGCCGCCGGGCTCTCCGCCTGTCTTCAAGGCGCGTTACGTGGCTCGTGGCTTCAGTCAACGGCAGGGAGTTGACTACTTTCAGACCTTCTCTCCCACCCCGAAGATGACCACTCTTCGGGTACTGCTGCACGTTGCTGCTCACCATGACTACGAGCTGCACTCTCTCGACTTCAGCACTGCTTTCTTGCAGGGCAGCCTGCACGAGGAGATCTGGCTGCGCCGCCCACCTGGCTTCAATGGGTCTTTCCCTCCTGGCACCCAGTGGAGTCTCCGGCGTCCAGTCTACGGTCTCCACCAGGCGCCACGTGAGTGGCACGACACACTAAGGACTACGCTTGCGGCTCTTGGGTTTGCTCCTTCTACTGCCGACCCGTCGCTGTTTCTGTGCACCGATACTTCTCTGCCGCCGTTCTACATCCTCGTGTACGTCGACGACTTGGTCTTTGCCACAGCTGACACTGCTGGACTCGCCTACGTGAAGTCCGAGCTGCAGAAGAGACACACGTGCACAGACCTGGGTGAACTGCGCAGCTACCTTGGCTTGCAGATCACCCGGGACAGAGCACGCCGCACCATTACCCTGACTCAGTCACACATGGTGCAGCAGGTCCTTCAGCGCTTCGGCTTCACGTACTCCTCGCCTCAGGCCACTCCTCTGCCTACTCGCCACTCGCTCTCAGCTCTGCCTTCGGATGAGTCTGTAGAGTCGAGTGGCCCGTATCCAAAGCTTGTTGGCTGCCTCATGTACCTGATGACCTGCACACGACCTGACCTTGCATACCCTCTTAGCATTCTCGCACGCTATGTTGCTCCTGGGAGACACCGACCAAAGCACATGGCTGCAGCGAAGAGGGTGTTGCGCTACTTGTGCAGTACGTCGGGCATGGGGCTAGTGCTTGGAGGGCGGAGTCCAGTGGTCCTCACTGGGCACGCGGACGCTTCTTGGGCTGACGACCAGGCTACGCAGCGGTCGTCACAGGGTTACACCTTCAGCCTTGGTTCCGGCTCTGTTTCGTGGCGGGCTAATCGCTCGTCTTCTGTTCTCGGCTCCAGTTGTGAGGCTGAGATCTACGCCGGGGCCATGGCTGCACAGGAGCTTCGCTGGCTCACCTACCTGCTGACCGACCTTGGAGAGCCGCCTCGTTCTCCTCCAGTCCTGTACGTAGACAACAATGCCATGCTGGCCTTGTGTCGAGAGCAGAGACTGGAGCACAGAACAAAGCACATTGCTCTTCGCTACTTCCTTGCTCGTGAGCTACAGCAGCGTGGTCAATTGCGGCTTGCGTACGTGGCCTCTGAGGCCAACACTGCTGATGTCTTCACCAAGGCACTTGCGCCTTGTGATCATTAGCGCTTCTGCACGCAGCTGGGTCTTGTGCCTGTCTTGCCTCACTTGCTCACCTCTTGACCTTGCTTGTACTGTTGCATATATATACCCCTGCTCTTGCTTGTCTAGTCCTTTATATATATGTACTCCTTCATGTGAACTGGCCTTCTGGCCTTGAACTTGTGCTCAGAATGTGTGGTGACTTTGTGATCCACCCTGAGCTTGCTTTGCTTTGCTTTGCTTGACTGGTCTTGTGACCCCTTGTTCTCCCCCACTTTGCCTATGGGGGTGTGTCAGAACATATAGCTTGTGCTTATTGTGTAGGCTATAGTGGGGTAGCCCATAAGGGGTACATCCCAATTAGGGTTAGTACTTGTACTCAGTTCATTAATAGTTCATTCATTCTCGTTTCTTCTCAGGCGTTGGTCAGTCCAAAGAGCATGACGGTGTATTCGAAGGATCCATAACGTGTTCGGAAAGCTGTCTTAAAGTAGTCGAGTGGATTGGCTCGAATTTGGTGGTGACCCCCTCTAAGGTCGATTTTTCGAGAAAACTCGGACAGTACGCAGTTGGTCGATCAGTTCATCCGCTCGCAGGATGGGGTAACGGGATTTGATGGTAACCCTGTTCAAAACGCGGTACTTGATGCACATGCGAAAAACCCCGTCCTTTTTCGGTGTGAATAGAATCGGTGCTGCGAAGGGTGACGAACTCGGGCGAATAAACTCATTCTCGAGCAGGTAATCCAGTTGCTTCCTCAGTTCATCCAGTTCGGGTTGGGTCAGTCAGACCTGTCACTACACTGTCGGCTGTGCCCCCGGCTCTAACTCTATCCTGTGGTCGTGTGGTCGCTGAAGTGGCATTCCCGTCTGCAGGTCATCCGGAAATATCCCACTGTGCCGCTTTAGGAGTGCTGCCAAGTCATTCGGTACGTCTGCTAACAGTTTCCGTACATCCCCCCCTTTGTCTGCTGCCTCGGCTTCCCGAATGTCAACCGCGTACACGTCAGCTCCTGCCGCTACGGCGCGTTTCATCGTGATCGCGTTGACACGCAACGACGGAGACTCAGGCGAGCCCCAGCGAGGTAAGGCGATGTTGTTACCATTAACTCGCACGGTGCAGTCACCCGTCGTCCAGTCGATTCGCGGATTGTGTCATAGCAGCCAATCACGGCCGAGTAAAATCTCGGTTCCGTCGAGGGTTGTCGCGAGCATATTCTGACTAAACGTGAAGTTACCCCCGCATCGAATCCGAACCCGGTCTACGCGTTCCAGTATCGCCAGTGGCGTGGCGTCAACTAGCCTTGCGTCGATCTCAGGTGAACATCTGTCCAGTGGCAGCCTCAGTTTCCGTGCTGTGGCGGTGTTGATCAGGCCGTGGCTGGCTCCCACGTTGACAAATATCTTAACTAAATCTGTCCCAATTTTCCCACTGAGCAGTATGGGGCTGTCTACTATAGTACCCTCCTTATTCGGCCGGTTGTGGTCGATTGCGTGAACCGGCACAATCACTCGGTGAGGGTTAGTTGGGTCGGGCGAGCGACGTGACCTGACAGTAGAGGGTCCGTCTGCTACTGACGGGCGATGTCGTGCTTTAGGCCACCTATGTAGCGGTCGATACCCTCGCCCTCGTGCATATATCCCAGTTGCTCGCACAGTGCCAGAAACCTGCTAGTGTAGTCTTGGACGGAACTGAGTTGGCGCCAAGTGCGGAGCTTCTAACACGCTGCTATCGAAGCCGCAATTGGCTCAAATCGAGCGTGCAGACTTGCGCACCACACGTCCCACGTGCAATATTGGGGCACCTCCACGAGATACGACGGCGCCCAGGCTCCGGTTTGTCCTTCCCGTGTTGGTAGATTCGCATAGTCATTCGGCTTCGTGACGATGACGCGCCACCAATCTGTCAAACATTATATATGTTATGCTTGTGTAGGCTACAGTGGGTTAGCCTATAGGGGGTACACAATTCTAGGGTTTCCTACTTGTACTCATTTCACTGCTAGTTCATTCATTCCTGTTCGCTTATTTTCACATGGTATAGAGCGGGTCCTTCTAAGGACCGTTTTTTTTTGGGCCCACCGAAGCGCGCCCCGAGGCGCGATTTTTTTTTAGCGACCCCTCGGGTCGCCTTTTCCCCTGCGGCTCAGCCGCCTCCACTGACGCGGCCCCGCCGCCCTCCCTTACGCGGCCCCGTCGCCGGCTCTCACGCGGCCCCGCCGCCGACTCTGTCGCGGCCCCGCCCCGGCCTTTACGCGGCCCCGCTGCCTGCTCTCACGCGGCCCCGCCCCGGCTCCTACGCGGCCCCGCCCCGGCCTTCACGCGGCCCCGCCGACGGCTCTGTCACGGCCCCGCCCAGGCTCTTACGCGGCCCCTGCCCCGGCTCTTACGCGGCCCTGCCGCCGGCTCTCTTGCGGCCCCGCCCCGGCTCTCACGTGGCCCCGCCGTCGGCCCTCTCCAGGCCCCGCCGCCGGCTCTCTTACGGCCCCGTCGCCGGCCCTGACGCGGCCCCTGCCCCGGCTCTCAAGCGGCCCCGCCGCCGGCTCTTTTGCGGCCCCGCCGCCGGCTCTGAAGCGGCCCCGCCCCGGCTCTCACGCGGCCCCACCGCCGGCCCTCAGCGTCCCCGCCCCGGCTCTCTCACGCGGCCCCGCCGCCACACCTGCAGCAGTCGGGCAGCAGTGCAGCCGAACCGCCCGGGAGCCGAGCCGCCCAACGCCCGAGCCGCTCAGTCGCCGAGCCGCCCGGGACCCGAGCCGCCCTGCACCCGAGCCGCCCTGCCGCCGAGCCGTCCGGGAGCCGAGCCGCCCTGCGCCCGAGCCGCCCAGCTGCCGAGCCGCCCGGGAGCCGAGCCGCTGTGCACCCGAGCCGCCCGGTAGCCGAGCCGCCTTTCTGCAGAGCTGCACGACCTGCCCTGCGTGGTGAGCACAGTCCCACTGTCACTGCGAGCTCTTTCCCTACTGCTTGCACTGCGTCGCTGTCGTCGCCATGGCTACCCCTAGTGTCCTAGCTTTTGACGGTGAGGGTCGCGCCATTGATTTTGAGGTCTGGTTAGACGACCTGCAGCTGTTCTTACAGTGCGACAGGGCTGACGGCCTTTCTCTCTTTGACCTCACCTCTGGCGCCTCTCCTGCTCCTGCTGCTGATGCTGATCCCACTGTCCGCTCTCAGTGGGCCACCCGCGATGCTGCTGCACGTCTTGCTGTGCGTCGCCACCTCCCTACCTCTGAGCGTGCGCACTTTAGTCAGTACAAGAGTGCTCAGACCTTGTACGGCGCTGTAGTTGCGCGCTACTCCTCCCCTGCCACTGCTGCACTGAGCCGTCTCATGCTTCCCTACCTCTTTCCTGACCTCTCTGCCTTTCCCACTGTCGCTGACCTCATTACGCACCTCCGCACTAGTGACACTCGCTACCGCGCCGCCCTTCCTGCTGAGTTCTGCGCTAAGAACCCCCCCCCCATTTACATCGCTCTCTACTACGTAGTCGCGCGCCTCCCTGACTCCCTTCGCGTCGTCAGGGACCACTTTCTCGCAGTCTGTCCCACCACCCTCACCGTCGACCTCCTCGAGAAGGCCCTCCTCGCAGCGGAGAAG